GGAATACAAAGTTATCCTCCATTTTACAAGTAAGGTGCCAGGACAATACCTGAAATCCCCCCAGGCAGGGACTGCCTTGCGATGAATTCTGACAGCGGCAAGCTGTGCAAATGGACAGTGCTAGGGAAGTCCCAAGTCATCCTGCAGGACACTAATGGGCTCTCCTTTCTCTATTGAGAAATGTGGCTGTAAAGCGTTTATTCAGAATTTCTTGTGCAGTTGTAAATGCAGGCTAAGAGGGGTCTTATCAGGGACATGTAGGATCATGCTTCAACTTGCAATGACAGTATTTTCAAGACTAGTTTTAGGCTATCTCCTGTGATAGTCAGATAGGGGAAAGGAGTGGAACTTTAGAATTTAGAATTCATACCAAATTATATGTGACATGAGACCAATTTGCAAATGAGACAGTTGATATGTTTTTAAAGAAACACACAGGGATTAAGCAATGTCAAGAGAGCATTTAAGAGGCCCAAATGTATAAAGAAAGCAGAAAGATGACTTTGGCACACGATGCAGCAGCCTAAACACCTGTAGGATTAGGGAAACTGTTGAAAAGTTCAGGTATTTTGTGGTATTCAGAGATAATGAGATGGCCCATGAGGTTAAATACAGCCTTTCCCAAACCAGGTTCATCAGAAAACAAAAATAAAAACAAGCCAAACCCTTAAAGGCATGGAATGTCTTTTTAACCACTGGTCCGATATCTCGAGTGATGAATTAAACTATAAAGACTTTTGCTTTTTCAAGGAAGTGGACAAAATGATACTCAGGGCAGTAAACAACTGGTGGTCGAAATGCGTTTCAATGACTGCAGTGGAAGAATCCAAGAAATCTTGAAACTCAAGAGAATATAAATACCAAAATCTCGAGCCTAAATGATAAAGCCTGTTTGATACTCTGATCCTTTAAAATGATTTAGTTAATCAAAGAGCAGTAACTCAGACCTGGAGGGTACTTTAGAGATAGAGCCCTACACACACACACACACACACACACACACACACACACACACACACACACAGAGGCACATAATTTCACTGTTGAGGATGCTGAGGTCCAGAGAGGTGCAATGAATTGCCAAAGGACACAGAATTACTGTAGTTGCCAGGCCTAGGACTGGAATTGTTCCCTCTGATTCCCACTCCCATATTTCTCCTGTGGTAATTTTCAGGCATTCTATAAAAATCCTGGGACTTAATCTTAATGATTCTGCAAGATGCAAAATGGCTGATCTCTGGTCCTGTATCGTCTCCCTCACCACTACGATGTTCTGGATCACAGAGTTCTCTTTGTGAAACAAGTTTTGACCAGAAACTGGGTTTCACGTGTCTTGACCTCCCACCTTATTTGTTTGACAGCAAATGATTTTTAACTCTTTTCTGAAAGCAAATCCATTCTTGAAGGTTGACTTTATATTCCCACTGGTGTTGAAGATCATGTCTAACAATGAGCTGCAACAATGGTGTGTGCATTCAGGATGACTGCTGGCCAGTGGTGCCCCCTCTGGGTGAACGAGTTAGAAGGAAACACCTGGTCTGGGTGGCACAGTCCTGTGGGTTCAGGGCTGGACAGGCAGATGCCTTCATGGTGTGAGGTTAAAGGTGGTCGTTTCTCCAGAGGCAGCCCCGAGCCAGGGTATCCAGCTTGGGGAGCAGAGCTTTGGCGGGGTCCAGGCATCCCTGGAGTGCACAGTCTGCACAACCAGCTGTGGGACTGAGCTTTGGTAGCATTGCCAAAGTATACTTATATCCACCCCCCCACTTTCTACAGTGATGATCCTTTTCGTTCTTGGCCCCTATCCCCGTGGCAATATTAACTTGGATAAGTTCCCTCATGTTTGAAAAAGAATATTCATCTAATAAAATAATGAGACTTTATGTTAAACCCCAAAGCACAGCCAGAAGGACGTGACAACTAGGAAACGCTGCAGTCTGACCGCTGGGGGCCAGCGTGTGTGTGGCTGCGTGTGCCGGCTCAGGAGTCACGCATGGCCTGGTGATCTCCCCTCTGACCTCATTAGTGATGACCTGTATGGGTCTCGTTTTTCCTCACTCGTAAAATGAAGATAATAATATCTTATAAGAAACCTAAATTTATACTTGATAGATCATTTTAAAAATGTGCTAATTTCATTTCTTAGGATCCTGTCATAAGAACCCCTTACGTCTTCATACCATCATCAACAAACCCCTGTCTTCAATCTCTGCTGTGACTATTCTCTTCATCTTCGTGCTTTACCCAAAACCTGGCTCTCCGCTGCTGACGCTGCGGCCCCTGTGGCCCTCTCATATGGGGGCTGTTTTCTCTTACTTTCTCTGGACCACCGGGTTCACAGGTAGAGCAGGTGTCCTCCTTGCAGCTCCCAGACCAGGCTCCCTGCCTCCTCCTAAAGTCTCGTGTCCTCACACAGTACCATGCAACGCTTCTCATTGTGGCTGTCTACCAAACCCTGGTTTCTCCCACTCATTCTCTGACTAGTTGAGCTCCTGCCCCTCTGTCTCTGTCTCCAGTGTCCCCCTCTGTCCACTGTCTCCACACTTGTCACTGCAGTATCTACATGGATGACGCTTTTAGGATTTGGTCCCTCAGTTCCTTCGCCTCTTCTTTTTCAGTGATCTTGCTCTCCTCTTCATTTTAGCTGCTCATTCTCATAACCCCCAAAAGCCAGCAATAGATCCACAATCTCATATTCAAACATCTGTCTCCAACCGCCACCTCCTGGTCCTTCCCGCTCCCGTCTGCTAATGGACCAACTCTGACAGTCCTGTGACCCCACTGCCTTCCAATCCATTGATCCTCCTGCCTCTTCACGATCTCTAACCCCCTCAAGTCTCCATTTCTCTGGTTACCTAACTTCAACCCAGGTCAGTCATTCCATATATTCCCACCCCCTAAGCCCCTTTGCCACTTCCTCCCACTCTTTGGCTGAACCACAGCCCTGGCTTAGCCCACCTCTCTGCCACGCCATGCCTGCCCCCGGGCAGCCAAACATGGCAGGAGGGAAGCACACAATCATGCTGACTGTCCTCTCCCTCAACCAATAACCGGGTTTTTTATGTCAGCAGCCCACAGCTAACTTCCACCAGTTCCAGACACCTGCACCCATGCCCGTATCCTCCATCCTCTGTCCTTGTGCTAGGGTGACCAGTCCCCGATCTATGTCCAGGCACCCTTCCCACGAGGCTCACTCCCACTGCCCAGGCCTCCGCTCTTGCTGTTGCTCTGCCCGGAGTGGTTTCTCCCTAGATGCCTGCATGGCTCGCTTCCTCCCTTCCAACACGTCTTTACTCAGATGCTGCCTTCTAAGTGCCACCCTCTGTGGCCTCCTCTCTGTGGCATCTCATACACACACGCACCATGACACTTCCTACCTCACCTCTCCTCTTTAGTTTTCTCCTTATCATTCCCTGACATACTATAGAGTTCATCGCTCTCTAATATATGACATGTTTTACCTCAAAATGCTGCTTTATTGTCCCTCTTTAGAATATGAGCTCCATGAAGAAGGACTTTTGGTCTGCCGTGTTCACTGCTGTTTCTCCAATGCTTAGGAAGGTGTCTAGCACAGAGAAGATGTGCAATAAGTGGTTGCTGAATGAAACAACGAAGGAATGAAAAATTTATCAAATAAAGGAAATGACACACTCCTGTACATTTTTACCCACCCTGACGTTTTCCTTCTCTCTTTCTCTCTCTCTCTCTCTCCCGACCTAGATACTGGATAAACTACTGGATGGTGACTTAACGAGTGACCCTTCTTACTTCCAGAACGTGACAGGATGTATTAATTATTATAACCTGTTGCAGTGCATGGTAATGACAACATTTTAAAAACCATAATAACTTTTGCTTAAAACTTTTAGCAAAATCAAACTTCCTCTGTTTTGGCAAATATTACAGCTGACTTCATACTAGACCAATATGTCCAAACCTGTATTGCATTATTTGGTCTGTGAACCCACAGGATTTTCTTCACCAGTGTTGTATACATTATAATCTGACCATTGAGATAGTGTGATATTTCAGATATCAATTCTGATTAACGTAACGTCCCTCCAGTAGAGCTTGTTATACAGAGATTCTTTTGTGAAGGATACAGGCTGGGATTGGAGTTCAAGACCAAGAGCTTCAAGTCTGTTTTATGAGTCTCTTGAAAATGCCCACATTCTTTGTTCTGTACTTAAGACGGCTTGGATAATCAGAATTTCCAAAGTCTTTATGAAAATATTTGCTTGGTCTTACTTTTAACTTAAGATGTTTAGTGCATTTAGTATGGCCTCACTTCAAGCTCTCTGGAATATTTTTCAAAGTATTCGAGTATTAATAGTTTCTTTCATAAATCTAGGCCAAAGTTGATGTCTTCTGTTTAGAAGATATCAATCAAATAAAAGAAAGAGAGCCAAAGTGAGGGTTTGGATTTACATAATCTTTGTCTAGTGCATATGACAATGCATTCTGTTTTTAAATTGCCTTATTTATAAACTAGTTTTTAAATAAAATATAAAGTTAATCGTGGTGGAATTTGCCAGTCCTGTGGTTTTGGATTTTAGATGCTACCAAGAGAAAAACATATGGTAGACAAGAGGGAAACAAGATTTGTGATTACATTTTTTCTTTGCAAAGTAATATATTCACAGTTCTCAAAAATTGTTGATAAAGCACAAAAGTGTCCAACTCAAACCCTAACAGTTTTTTTTTATCCTTTTGTTACTAGAATTTTTTTTTTAAGCATTTACTTCTTGTTTCTTTTAATACAATGATTAGTACAGAGACTTTAATGCAGTTTATTTTATTTTTTTAAATAAGGCTCGTGGACAATTTTCTTTTGCCTTGTGTCTATAAAGTATTAGCTGTTTTTACATTTGACGTATTTTCCCTCTTAAATTATAGTCAGCTGATTTTTTTTGGTGTGAAATTCTTAGCTTTTAATACCATGCCACCACCCTCGCCCCTTGCCATCCATTTGACCTTCTTTCCAAAGGGCCACCGACAAGGATGATTGATTTTGATAATCTCACCTTTTTTGTTTTCTCTGTCTTTGCCTCTAGGGGAGTCACTAATTAGAGTCAAAGATTGCAAAAGATTAGTTTCTGAAAAGGAAAATCCTGTATTTGCAAATTAGGTATTTGCTCAAAGAGTGTCATATCATCCAGATCTGTCCTTAGTGAAAGGATCCCACTTATATGTGACCTCAAAACCTCTGAGTTAAAATTTCAAGAGTGGGGACAAGTTAATAGTCATGTCACATTTTGTTCATTGTGTTATTTGTTCTGACAAATTCACAGCTTTTTTCAGCATGCTGTCCCTGCCACCCAATCATGTTCCCTGTCTTTCTCTTGTACCCTTCTGCCAGGAACCTGAGGACCAGTTTTACTACGCAAAATTTTTGTCACTCCCAGAAGTGAGACAAGCCATCCACGTGGGAAACCGGACTTTTAACGATGGAGCTATAGTTGAAAAGTACTTGCGAGAAGATACAGTCAAGTCAGTTAAGCCATGGTTAACTGAAATCATGAATAATTATAAGGTAAGAGAGTTACTTCAGTTACTACCTGTTTTAGGAACTTTCAGGTTCCCCAGAAAGAGGTGACTTTCTTTTATTTGTAATTTGACTCCTATCTTTTTTTTAACTTTTATATATGATACTTCACAAACATAAATAATAACCCCTTCTTTGTTTGATTTCTTCGAATTAAAGTGGTTTTTTTTTGTTTTTTTTTTTCATTAAAAAAATTGTTCCTGGCCGGGCACGGTGGCTCATGCCTGTAATCCTAGCTCTCCGGGAGGCCGAGGCGGGAGGATTGTTTGAGCTCAGGAGTTCGAAACCAGCCTGAGCAAGAGCAAGACCCCATCTCTACTAAAATTAGAAAGAAATTAATTGGACAACTAAAAATACCTAGAAAAAATTAGCCGGGCATGGTGGCGCATGCCTGTAGTCCCAGCTACTCGGGAGGCTGAGGCAGAAGGATTGCTTGAGCCCAGGAGTTTGAGGTTGCTATGAGCTAGGCTGACGCCACGGCACTCTAGCCCTGGCAACACAGTGAGACTCTGTCTCAAAAAAAAAAAAAGAAAAAAAAATTGTTCCTTAAAATGACATTCCCTTTGACACATGCCACCTCTCATCCTTTCTTGAGACAAGAAGCATAGCAGGGCTAAAAAGATGACTGGCCTTGTGTTAGAGCTGGGTCTCTCTTATTTATGCTTTACAGTATGAATCCCAGTGACATCAGGGATAAATGAAATCAACTGGTTATTCCAAAAATGCATTTTTCCTTATAACTGTAGTCATTCATTTTGCTCAATCACAGTTTTTTCAATCTCTTTACCAAACACTGTACTGGGCCTTCAGGTCAAAACACAAAAAGAGATTAGCAGATTAGATTTATTATCCACAAAAAGAGATTAGCACTTGTGTCTTAAAGACAATGTTCCATAATATAACATTAAGGAATGGAAAGTGGGTTTGTTTTTTGTTTTTTGTTTTTTTAGTGGAGAGCAGATAACGCAGTTCCTATGTACATTATTTGTGCCCTTGGGAGATATATTTTCTCACTCTATGAAGGTAACTGGAATGATTCCTTATGTGAGGATAGGGTGAGATATACAGTTTACCTGATGATATAAACTCTTCTGATGTTGGCTAATAGCCATAGACTGTTCACTTGATTGACAAAGGAGAATATATTGATTAGAAATGATTCTGCATTTTGATATTTAAACATCTCTGTCCCTGTTGCTCATGTATCCTAAACCTATCAATATGAACTCCAGTGAAATCAGAATACAGTATTTTCTAAAATTTTCAACTCTCAATCAGTTGCCAGAAAAAGAAAAGAGTTTAGTGGTGCAGATAAACCATGTTTCCATAAGGAAAGAGAATAAAATATGCAATCAATTTGAATGCAGACCCCAAAGTGGCTTCCTCTAAAACAGACTGCATATTACTGATACAGCTGGCATAGCCCGCAGGGCAGCGGTTATCTTTGGCTTGTCTGTTAATGATGGTGAACCTCAATGTGTATGTAATGGAATCACAACAGCCTAGGTTGGCTTAAGACTTTAGTACTCTCAAAGTTGTATTTATGTAAGACTCAGTACCAATTTGTCATAGAAAATCGCATGCTGTTTCTATTCTTAGGAACCTAGAAGTCTTTTTCCAGTAGTAGATTAATTTTAGCCAATATGGAGTGTCTCCGATGGGCTGAGGAAGAACTTCATGGGTTTCTGGGATTATGTGTTCATGTAGTTTCTGTGTAAACATTAGTTTCTGTGTAAACTACATGAACACATAATCCGTTTCTTATAATGATATACAGGAGCTGCATACTCAAAGTCATTTTTTTTTTTTTTTAGTAATTTCAGATGTTTAGGTGGTAAATTGAAATATCCTTTTGGCAGTTACCAAAATAACTAGAATGAGAAACAATCTGTTGGACTATTTGAATTCTTTGTGATAAAATGATTTCAAAATACTGTGAGGATTTATAGGAGTCAGCTGGTTAATAGAGGACGGAGGTCGTGGACGTGTTCACAAGTCAGACATTTTGAGTTTGAATTCTGGTTGCACCATTCCCTGTCTGTGTGTTTTGAAGGGAGGATACTTAAGCTCTCTGTGCTTCAGCTTCCTTGCCTATAAAATGGGAGTAGAAACGGTACTTATGTGTGAGCTCTCAAGAGGTGTAAGTGAGATTATATATAGAAAACACTTAGAACAGTGCTTGTTGGTTAGAAAATGCTTGTAAATATAACCTATTACCAACAACAACTTTTAGTAAAAGTCTTTAAGATCTTGCTACATACAAAAGTTATGTAAGAAAGCCTGGAAAACACAAAAATAAAAAAGACTTGAAAGACTTCCAGTTTCCAGTCCAGCATGTAAGGAGCTTAGAAGTCACCGGTCCATCCTAACGATAAAAAGCTGAATAAACTGGGGGGAAAAAATATCAACAACTCTTTTTCGATTTGTGAGAAAAAGGAGTCGCAGGGCAAAATGCTGCCCTTGCAAATTGGAGAGACAGGTGAATAGAGAGTCACAGCTTACTGGAGCAGAAACCCATGAGCAGAAACCTCCACAGAAGCAAGTGCAGAGGTAGGAAACCTGAACTGTAATTGGCAAATTACTAGAGGCTCCATGTGGATGTATCTGAGAGCTGAAAACTCCAGGGGTACCCAGTCACGGTGCCCTCCACACTGCTGTGGATTTTACCTCCAGGAGCTAGACCAGGTCATCTCAGTGAACATAGACAAAAAAATCACCTCCTGCTTCAGTATTTCTGTTCTCTTTGGCAGGGCTGCCCTCGGGGGAAACTGACCAGACACTGCCTGCTGGAGTGTTATCAGAGCCTAACCTCCCTGGGGGAGGGTAACATCCCACTCCAGCCCTCTCTGGCCGTCCTAGTCCACTGAGACGTAGTACGGGACTACAGAACACTTCCCCTCCCCACACCTCACCAGTGTACCACTAAGGGACTATTTTCTGCATTTCCTTTTATCTGGTACATCACGCCACCGTTCAACAAACAATTACCATGCACACTAAGAGGCAAAAAACGTAGTTTGAAGCAGCATCAGAACCAGAGTCAGATATGGCAGGAATGTTGGAATTACCAGACCAGGAATTTTTTAAAAATAAATTTTATTGTGTGCATCTAAGGTATACAACATGATGTTAACAGATACATAAATATGGTAAAATGGTTACTACAGTGATAAAATTAACATAGCTGTCATCTTCCATAGTTACCAATCCCTATCCCCTTTGACAAGAGCAACTATAATCTACTTTTTGAGCAAAAATCCTGAATACAATATACTATTAATGACCATAGTCCTTACGTTGTACGTTACATCTTTAGAGTTGTTCACTCTACTTCGTGCTAGTAGAATGCTACTAGCTGTCATTTGACAGCTACTTTCTGTCATTTGACCTGCATGTCCTTTGACCCCATGTCATTCCCCCAAACCCACCCCTGATAAACCACTGTTTTATTCTCTGTCTCTGTGTAATTCACTCTTTTTTAGATTCCCCATGTAAGTGAGATCATGCAATATATTTTTGTGTGTGTCTGGCTTATTTCACTTAGCATAATGTCCTCTGGGCTAATCCGGTTGTGACAAATGGCAAGATCTCCTCCTTTTTAAAGGCTGAATAATATTCAGTTATATACAGGCATACCTTGGAGATATTACAGGTTCAGTTCAGATCACTGCAAATATCAAAATAAAGTGAGTCACATCATTTTCTGGTTTCCCAGTACATATGAAAGTTATGTTTACACTATACTTTAGTCTTTTAAGTGTGCATTAATATCATGTCTAAAAAAAGTACATACCTTAGTTTGAAAAACTTTATTGCTAAAAAATGCTAACAGTCATCTGAACCCTCACAGAGTCATAATCTTTTCAGTGGCGGAGGGTCTTGCCTTGATGTTGATGACTGCCGACTGATCTGGGTGGTGGTTGCCGAAGGCTGCAGGTGCTGAGAGGATTCCCTAAAATAAGACAACCATGATGCTTGTGGCATTGATTGAATCTTCCTTTCTCAAAAGATTTCTCTGGGCTGGGAGCAGTGGCTCACTCCTGTAATCTCAGCACTTTGGGAGGCTGAGACAGGAGGATCACTTGGGGCCAGGAGTTTGAGATCCAGCCCAGGGGACATAGCAAAACCTCAATTCCACAAAAAAATTTTTAAAAATTAGCTGGAATAGCACCCTTGCACTGCACTCCAGCCTGGGTGACAGAGCCATTCCCTGTCTCTTTTAAAAAAAAAAACTTTCTCTGTAGCATGCAATGCTGTTTGATAGCATTTTACCCACAGTAGAACTGCTTTCAGAATTGGAGTCAATTGTCTCAAATCCCGATGCTACTTTATGAACCAGTTTATGTAATATTCTAAATGCTTTGTTGTCATTTCAACAACACTCACACCATCTTCACCAGAAGTAGATTCCAGAAGTGATTCTCAAGAAATCACTTTCTTTGTGCCATAAGAAGCAACTCCTCATCCATTCAAGTTGTATCATGAGATTGTAGTAATTCAGTCAGTGCTTCAGGCTCCACTTCTAACTGTAGCTCCTAGCACATCTGCGATGACTTCCTCCCTTGCAGTCTTGAACCCCTCAAATTCATCTATGAGGAGTAGAATCAACTTCTTCCAAATTCCTGCTAATGTTGATATTTTGCCCTCTTCTCGTGAATCATGAATGTTCTTAATAGCATCTAGAATGGTGAATTCTTTCCAGTAGGTTTTCAATTGACTTTATTGAAATCTGCCAGAGGAATCACTATCTATGGCAGCTACAGCCTTAGAAAATGCATTTTTTGAATAATAAGATTTGAAACTCAAAATGACTCCTTGATCCATGGGCTGCAGAATGGATGTTGTGTTAGCAGACATGAGAACAATGTTAATCTCTTTGTACATCTTCATCAGAGCTCTTGGGTGACCAGGTACATTGTCATTTATCAGTAATATTTTGAAAGGAATTATTTTTTTCTGAGCAGTACGTCTCAGTAGTGGGCTTAAAA